AGTAATTGTTGCAAATATTTGATATACCAGAAACGTTTTCAACGTTGCATGTCTGAAAAAAAATTAGCGATTTCTTGAAAACATGTATTCGCGAAATATAATCATATCTTTCATTCTATTTTCAGGATATTTTCATAATTAACTTTATCTTACGTGGAAAGTGTTACTGACTTATGACACACTACAAACATTTATTACGAGTTTTAATTCTCAAACCTGATAATAGAACATGCATCAAATACAACTGTATGAGTAAAAGGTCATTCCACTAAAGCGATAGATTTCTTGATTATCTTTGATGTATACATATGTATAAATAGTCAATATTTTGTCCATCATCAATTGTTTATTTCACCAAAGGTCAAGTGTCAAGGAAAAGCCATCCAGAAGCTTCAGATATTTTTAACATAAGGGAAAGGCAATATCATTTTCATAAACGACTAATGTTGTAGAATATTTTCATCATCTTCAACAGCCATAATTCATCATGTACCTTGTAATAACTAGAAATAAAAAGAAGGGTGGATGTGTCCAGAGAACCACTTTACTATGTGATGGATCGTCTCGTTCCATTGAGTACGATGACAGTATCATTCCGGAAATAGATCCGTGATTCTATCCCGTTGAAAGGTTCGATTACAACAGGAAATCATAAACATCTCGACAAGTTGATATGACAGAGCTTGCCCTATTACAACGTAGTTTGTAAAGACACTCAAGTTGAGGTTTCAACGTAACAGAAACTGTTTTGTTCTACAAAAGATAACCTTCTTTCGAAACATATCTTTAATGACTACTGTTCATGCACTTATACTAGCCCTGGGCTCTACAAAGAAAGGAATAAAAATATCTGATCACCAGCTACATATATGTAGTTTTGGCTAAAACATTGACTAGTGCCATCAATTTTTCATTTTGACTTAATATCAATGTCTTAATGTCCCATAAAGGCGAAATAAACATAAATCCTGCACATATTTCTATCCCAGCATTGATACCTGTTTTATAGAATAATCATCACAACTGCATGCACAACATTACATGAGTATTTTCGTCTATTCTGTAAGAAATCGCTATTTTTTTCTTAATTCAGTAGTTAAGGTTTATCAAAGTAAATATTCATTTCTATACAGCACAGTTTATATGAAAACCTATATATGTCACTAGATTATAGAATCACACATTAGTCGTTTAACACTCTTTCTTAATTTTTTTCCTACAGTATGCTGTCCATAGTCAAGGAAATTCAGTTAAATAAGTCTTGAAGATCAGTTTGTAACAAGTATGGCAAATACCGGGATCTGAATGACAAAGGATATTCAACTAAAGCTTCCTTTGAGGGAAATAATTTGTCAAGAAAGTATGATGTGCTAGGGAGAATAATTCAGTATCATAGGTATAGGACAGATAACACCATCTATCAACATCATGATGATGATTATGAGCAATCAAGGCTTTGCTTCAGATAAGGATCAGATCATGATTATGATGAGCAATCAAGGCTTTGCTCCAGAAATAAATCAGATACACTCAAAAAGATCACATACAAAATTGCTATATAGTTAATGGAGGAATACATTCATATAAATGTCTTCACTATATATCTAAGACTGATAACAAGTAATGTTCAAAAAATGGTTAATGAATTCGTTTATTTGAAGTCTTGCCTAGGCTCAAAGAAAGGAAGAAAACCTACCTATAACTTTAGAATAAATTAATAATTTAATGAAGTGTGCTTTAGACTTGCTTTTTAAGGATGAGAAATGAATAGCAGGGTTTCAAACTAAAACTTCACAATGTCAAAGTGCTTGAGGAGAATTGTCTTTTTTTTGGGGGGGGGATAATATCCAAGGATAATAGAATGCATTTTTGTGATCCTAGCATAGATAAAGTACGGGGGAAAAGTCAAGCTAGGGAAATGACACAAGAATGACAAAAAGAGAGGGGGGAACGGGAAAATCAGGATAGCAATGTTGACTACCTTTTTTTCAACTTTAGAGGCTGATGGTTTAAATCCTTCGATGGAAACAGAGACAGCTGATAAAATAGTAGCATCTGTCTTGAGCTCGTTTCTGGAACAATTTCAATCTTCCAGAAGGATATACATGCATTGCTTTCATGTGGTAACATAATCTGATTGAAGCACATGGAACAAGATAAGAAAAGAAAAAGAAATGAACAAATCTTTTGTTGTTACGGCTTCTGGAGGAATGGGGGGTGATAAGACGTAGAGGCGAGCTCAGATTGAAAATTTAATGAAATTGATGTATTCTTCTTACATTTTGTTCTACATATCCCGGCAATCGAATCAACAAATGGATGACTTTTTTTTTGTCTCTAGAGGACAATAGGTTAAGTAAAAAAAATTGAGTCATACATTTAAAGTGACCAACAAATTCACCTCAGGTATGATAGTGAGAATTCTTTCCTTATGCATTTATCAATGTTGGAATAGAAATATTCGAATGGCTTAGAGTTTTTCGAGACTTGGGTCCAGTAGGACATTGATGTTGATCTGAAATGGAAGACTGGTGTCGCCAATCGCTTTTTGTTTCAGCCCAAAATACATATATATATATATATTTAGAGTGGAGGTAAAATGTCCTTAGTTTTAGAAAATCTACTGATACGAAGTGACGATTTGAAGACAATACGGAGTTTAATGGTGGGGGGGGTACGGTACACGTCGTCCTCGTCTCTCAGATTAACTTACCGTACTTATTACTTAAACTTAACACTACA